GTCTCACGTTCGGTTCGAGTCCCATTTAGCGATTCTGGAGCTCAAAACGCGTCCGGGATTTTGACCGCCTCCACCGGTCTTCTGACCCACTGTGGGTTGTCGCCGCGCAGGGGTGCCACTGTCGGCACGCCAAAAAAACAAGAACAACGGAAAAGAATAAGTGTGAAAATGAATCTGCAACTGAGCCTCGTAAAAATTGGCACCCGCTGACGCGCTCGCTTGCGAAACGCGTTCCGAACAAGTTGCCTTGCTGACCGCGCGGCACCGCGCGCCGTACTCGGAAAGTCGCAGTCTTTTCGTTTTCTTATCACTGCGAGCCTCTTGCCCTCTGCCTCGCTCCGTCTCTCTCGCTCTCGCCGGCGGAGAGAGAGAGAGAGAGAGAAACCGCCACCCCCGTGCGGTATCGGAGTATCGGACGCCTTCGTCGAGTGCATCGCGCACGAGCACGACTTGCAGTGTGGCAGTGGCCGACGGAGGCTCGGCGCGCGGAGGACTCTGACACGGACACGTTTGGGTCGAGGAGTTGCATCCAAGTCTCCATGCCGCGGGCACTCGCACTGAGCGGCATGGGCCGGTACGTACGGACTGGAACCGAGCGTGTGACCCCACCAATGGATTCCTCGTTCGAAGAGCAATCCATTGGTGGGGTCACACGTTCGGTTCGAGTCCCATTTAGCGACTCTGGAGCTCAAAACGCGTCTGGAGTTTCGGCCGCCTCCACCGGTCTTCTGGCCCACTGTGCAAGGCGGTGTTTCTGTGCGTTTCTGCGTGAGAACGTGGCCGCCCGTTGCGTGGTTTGTGAAGGGCCAGGGCCGAAGGGGCCTAGAGGGCCCGGTCCTTTTCCGTTGGTATCCCTTTGTTGGTGTACTGGCCGGGCGGGGCTCGGCGGGGCGCGGCGTGCATATGAGATCTGTCAGATTGGGACTCGGCGGGCGGAGGGGCGGAGGCAGGTACAGGTACGTGGGGCTCGCCAGGCCAAGCCCGGCCAGGCCGGGCCGGGCCTTACGGTGGGGCGGACCGAATCGGACCGACTCATCAAACTAGGAATAAAAGAAGAAGAGAACGACAGCGGAGAGGAGCGCCGTCGGGCTTCCTGCGGTTTGTAATTAATTTCTGTTGGGCTGGCGTCGCTCTGTCTCTCTCGCACCCACACGGGACGCCCCGCGAGTGCGAGAGAGACAGAGCGACGGGACTGGCGCGGCCGCGGCGAGGGAAGCTAGGGAAAGGGTGCAGGTGGCGATTTCGATTTCGGGTGTGTCGGATTCGATTTATCGAACCTCGCGCGACTGTACAGCCCACGACTTGAGTCAATTATGGATCTGCCACTCGGGGGAAGAGCCAAGGGGAAATAACTCCAGCCAAATTTGTGCACCGAAATTCATCAAAATTGTAAAATGCACTGAAATTCATCGGAATTTATCGAAATTTGACTGTAATTCATCGAGTTTTGACTGTAATGCATCGAGTTTTGACTGAAATTTTACGAGTTTCGACCGAAATTCGACTGAAATTCATCGAAATTTGACTGAAATTCACTGGATTTGTACACCGGAATTCAGAGTGATTTGGGAAGAGCTGCCGGTTCACTGGGCGGATTTGGGCACTTCTTGTCGCATCGGCCGGCGCTGGTCCAATTGGCGAGGCGTTTGCGCGGCACCACCGCCTTGTATGGGAAAACCACCTGACCCAGGTTGAACCGTGCCAGTGCCACGCCATCGTGCACGCCGCCTTGCAAGCCATGCCTTCCCCGACTTGACGCTGCTCTCGCATCTGTTGCTCGCGTCGGTCCGTCCGTCTGTCTGTCCGTCTGTCTGTCCGTCTGTTTGACTGGGCTGTGCCCGCTGTGCCCTGTCCCGGATCGCCCCCTCTCTCTCCCTCGCCCCCTCTCCCTCTCCGTCTCACCTTACACCTTACGTATCACGGCTGCTCCGTGCTTCGCGCCCTTGCCTCTGCCCCTTCCTCTCGACCCCCCCCCCCTACTCTTTCCCTCTTCCTCTCTCTCACCCTCCCTCTCTCTCTCTCTCTTCCCGGTGCTGTCGCTGCTGCTGGGCCCCTCGAGTAGTCGCAGGCATGGCCAAAAAACTGAGGCGTTGTCTTTTTCAGCGACCTCACTCTTCCTCCCTCTGTCTCTCTCTCTCTCTCTCTCTCTCTCTCTCTCTCTCTCTCTCTCTCTCTCTCTCTCTCTCTCTCTCTCTCTCCCCTCTCCCCCCCCCCCCCTCTCTCTCCGAGATTAACGAAATGGCGGCACCTTTTCGTCTCGGTGTTTGCCAAGCCCTCCAGAGAAATTAGCTGTCGCTGATAGTGTAGCGGCGCGGCCGAGCCTGGCGATAGCAGCGACACCTCTAAGGACTGCGCGGCCGGGCAGTGCCAGGCAGCGTGGCAGCCAGGCGGTGGGTTATCAACAGGAATGTGCACCGCATCCGCTATCACGCCCCGCCAACGAGTATTCCCCTCGCCACTCGATGTTCCGAGAGAAATGGCGTTCAATCGCTTTGAATTCTCAGTTTGCACCGCGTCGGACCGAAATTTTGGCCAAGAAAGTCGACTGGAAATCGTAATATTTAGGACTTTTAGTACTTGTTTTTCAGTGTGCGTCTAGTATTCGCTACCCTACGCCTTGAACTCGTTTTCCAGAGTACTTCCACTGCGCCCGTACTTATTTTTTTAAAGAGTGCCGCCGCCGGCCGTTTTGTACTTCTTTCGACGCCGCAGCGATTCCCAGTGTGTTCCCACACGTGTGGCACACTGTGCGCGCGAGACGCGAGACTTCTCGCCGAAGCCGGGATTTTGTGTCGCTTCGTGCCCGAGCCTTCGTGCCGCTGGATTAGCCCGAATCGCCGCTCTGTCTCTCTCGCACTCGCGGAGCGTCCCGCAGTGGGCCAGAAGACCGGTGGAGGCGGCCAAAACTCTCGACGCGTTTTGAACTCCAGAGTCGCTAAATGGGACTCGAACCGAACGTGTGACCCCACCAATGGATTGCTCTCCGAACGAGGAATCCATTGGTGCGGTCACTTGTTCGGTTCGAGTCTTGCTTAGCGACCCTGGATCTCAAAACGCGTCCGGTGTTTCGGCCGCCAACACCGGTCTTCTGGCCCACTGTGTGCTGGTTTGATCCCCACACGCGACGTGGCAAAGTGCTCTGCAAGAAACACACAGTCACGGGGCGATCCCGCTAATAGCTTCGACTACACTGTTTTCTTGGAGATGGGAACTTGGAAACAAAATAAGAAGAGACAGAGTCAAAACGAATTGAATTTGTTTTGTTGAATATTTCAACTGGATTTCCATTCCGCTCGTCGCTCGCATCACAACGTTTGTCGATTCCTGCAGACTGAGAGTCGTTTTCGTCGCTCTGTCTCCCTCGCACTCACGGGCCCCCCGTGTAGGCGCGAGAGAGACAGAGCGACGAGAACGACTCTCAGTCTGCTGACGACTGGCGTACTCGCTTCCCTCTTTTGTCTCGTTTGATGCGGTACTCGGATAGCCTCCTATTTCCCGATGCGTACGCGGCCCGGCCAAGGCGGCCAGCCCATGCCGGCCAGGCTGGCCAGAGGAAGGGGGAATTTGATCAAAAACCGCAGCCAGCACCGCCGTAACTCGCAGCGAACGGCCCGGCTGTTACGCCCCGCCCCGCCCCGCCCCGCCCCGCAGCTATAAATCTTGTCCCTCCCTCGTTGTTCTGCCCGCTCCTGCAAGCATCGCTGTGCCGCCGTGCCGCGTATACACTTCAAAAAGAAAAAAAATCACGCCAGAAAAAAAAAGAGAGCAAAAAGTATCAAATCCCCGCGTCGAAAACGCCGGGGCCTTAATAACGTTGATTGATGCCTTATCGTCGCTCTCGCGTTTGCGATTTTCGTGGCCGAATTTTGGATCAACCTCTATCGGGCATTTTTTTTTTGTGGTCCTGGTTTTTTTGGTCAGGTTAGGAAGTTAGGTTAGGTTGGAGGTTAAGTTAGGTTAGGTTAAGTTTTGGAGGTCGAGTCAGGTCAGAGGGCGCTGGAGAGTCCCCCCACCCGGGGCTGTTCGCTTGCTTGGCAGTGTAGGGCGCAACGACGGGGGAAATTTTGAAATGTTTATACCGTCTTTTATTGGTTGTGTCGGAGAGCGGGCCGGCCCAGCAGGTTGTCTCTCTGTCTCTCTCTCTCTCTCTCACTCTCGCGGGGCCGTCTCGTCGGTGAGAGAGAGAGAGAGAGAGAGGGAGCAGCGACGCGGCGGCATTGTCATCGCGAACTGCCCAGGCGGTGTCCTGGCCCGAGACCACTGGCATGGCAAAGGATTATTCTCTTGGAGCAGGATGTCTGAGAGAGAGAGAGAAAGGCATGCACGAATCTTGCGTTTCCTGTTCTGATTGTCGTTTCTCCTGTTGCAGATGGTCGCGGACATGGCCCGGAGATGACGTCTCCGTGATGGGGTCGTGGAGCCCAGAGCCCCCCGACCCGCCCCCGGCCTTGCCGCCCCCGGCCTCGCCGCCCCCGAGAGCGCCGCCCCCGGGCCGCCCCCGGCCGAGCTGGCCGCTTCTGCTCTTCCTTCTCTCCAACTTGGCGGCAGGTTCGTTGAAAAAGAGTTCGGCTAGGTTGGTGTCTGAGACACTGTCGAAGTGCCACGCGAAGCCCGAGCGTACGGCGTCGACGGGGACCTCCTGGACCGCGGCCTTGGCACCCTGAGTGCCGTCGCTCTGTCTCTCTCGCGCCTGTACGAGGCTATAGGCCTTCACACGTGTGCGAGAGAGACAGAGCGACGAGAGGGACGCGCGGCGTCAGCCTCCGCCGGTTGCTTATCACCTCCAGTGCGTACACTACGAACTCAGGGTGTCCAGGTCGCGGAGGCCGCCGGGCTGGGTAGGCAACCCTCCCGCAGGCTTGTCCGCCGGGTTGCCTACCGGCACGGCTGTAGTTGGCGAAGCTGGGTTACGGTTTGTTCGTTTTCGAGTTTTCTCGCTTTGTTTTGGTGCGCAGGGCGCTTACACACTAAATGTCTTATGTACTTTATTGTCCATAGCTATGGCCGTTTTAGTACATACAGAACTTACGTACAAATTTGTACATAAATTAGGAACAATATTTCCATATTTGTGCTTAGGTATGTAAAACACTGTACCTAATTTATGTACAAATTTGTACATAACTTCAGTATGCACAAATACGGCCATAGTTATGGACATAAAGTCCGATAAAGTCCATAAGCATTTAGTGTGTAGGCCCGCCCCCGCCTCGCGTCGCGCGTGCCGTGCGGAGTGACATGCTTATCAGCAGGTGCTGAGGCCGCGACGCCACGTCTCGCTCTGTCTGGTCACGCGGCGGGAAAACGGGTAGAGGCGCTGCTGTTGAAGTTGCAGGCACACTGCACAAACAGAATTCTGTGTCGTAGACTAAGACATTTACGGTATTGCTGCCGATGGTATAGAGTGTGTTTTCGACACGGAAAGTCCATGACGGGCTAGAAATAAAAATGTCTTTGACAGGATTCTACGGTAGTACACTGCAAAGGAGCGGCGACTGGTTTGCCGAAGTCAATGAAAGCCGCGCGATGGCGAAAAGGGTCTTGATTTTGACAGGTGGCCAAAACTCTAGACGCGTTTTGAGCTCCAGAGTCGCTAAATGGGACTCGAACCGAACGTGTGACCCCACCAATGGATTCCTCGTTCGGAGAGCAATCCATTGGTGGGGTCACACTTTCGGTCCGAGTCCCATTTAGCGACTCTGGAAATCAAAACGCGTTTGGAGTTTTGTCCGCCTCCACCGGTCTTCTGGCCCACTGTGGAATGCCACAAGGATGAATGAATCGAATGGACGAGTGAGTGAATGAATGAATGAATGAGCGTGGATGGCTGGCGATGGCTGGCCTTGGCGCTTCCGCTGCGCAGCGCTGCACTGCTTCGCTGCACGCCACCGAGGGGGGGGGGGGGTTACGTAAGTGCACTGCACTGCTAGTCGCGAAGGCCTAGACCGGCAGTCGCGGGTTCGATTCCCGGTTTTTAATCTTCGACTTTTTTAGGGCTTGTGTACAGTGGGCCGGGTGACCGGTGGAGGCGGCCAAAACTCTAGACGCGTTTTGGGCCTCAGAGTCGCTACACAGGACTCGAACCGAACGTGTGACCCCACCAATGGATTCGTTTCTCGACTGTGGACTCTGTTGTTGCAGCGCTGGGGCACGGGCAGGGCCATGGCTACGGCGCGGGCTGCGACCTGGACGTGTGCACCAGGGCCTACGACGAGTCCCTGGAGCGGCGCGGGCTGGCCGGCCCCGAGGGGTCGGCCGCCTTCTGCGGCGTGCTCTACGACTTCGGCACCTGCATGTACAGCATCCGGCGGGCCTGCCGCGGCAACATCCGCTACCACACGTCCAACTCCATGCTGATACACTTGAAGACGAGGTGCGTACACTGCACTGTGGAACGGTCCAAATCCCGGACGCGTTTTGAGCTCCAGAGTCGCTAGATGGGACTCGAACCGAACGTGTGACCCCACCAATGGATTGCTTCTCGAACGAGGAATCCATTGGTGGGGTCCCACGTTCGGTTCGCGTCATGCGTCTCTGTGTGCCCCCCTCTCTGTGACTCCAGTGTAACCCATACCCGTGCTTGTCCTTCAGGTACGACTGCACCAGACGACTGAAGCAGGAGACCGGCTCGCCGACGGGCACCCCGCCGCGCAAGCACGGGCGGCCCCTGCTGCCGCCGACGCCGACGCCGTCCTGGTCGGCCACGACGCCGACGCCCGGCGGCGCCGCGGCCGCGGGCCCCGAGTGTAGCTACCGCGGCGGCAAGGCGTTCCGACACTGCGGCCTGTTCGGCGACCCGCACTTGCGGACCTTCACGGGCGCCATGCAGACCTGCCGCGTGCAGGGCGCCTGGCCGCTCGTCGACAACCGCTACCTGGCCGTGCAGGTGACGAACGAGCCCGTCCTGGAGGACTCCAACGCCACCGCCACCACCAAGGTACGTCCTAGTTGGCCCTAGTGCGCACCGCAGCCAGACGACCGGCGCCCGCGGCCAACTCCAGACGCGTTTTGAGCTGCAGAGTCGCTTAGCAGGGCTCGAACCGAACGTGTGACCCCACCAATGGATTCCTCGCTCGGAGAGCAATCCATTGGTGGGGTCACACGCTCGGTTCGAGTCCCATTTAGCGACTCTGGAGCTCAAAACGCGTCCGGGTTTTTGACCGCCTCCACCGGTCTTCTGGCCCACTGTGCGGCGGCCGTGCAGTGCAGCGTGCAGTCACTGGCAGCCACCCGGCTAAATTTGTCGAGCCTGGGGCGCGGTGCGTCCGCGGTGCGTGCGGAATGCAGGTGTGCGCGAAGGGGGGGGGGGGGTGTCCCTGCACGTTCCAAGTGCCGCACCGCGTGCCGCGGCCAATCAAGGAGAGGCGCTGATTGCTGTCTCTCTCCCACTCACGGGGCGTTCCGCCCGGCGTTCCGCGTGGGCGCGAGAGAGACAGAGACAGACTGCCGCCCGTCTCTCGTTTCCGCAGACCCGTCCTCCTCAAACTCCCGCGCGCGTTTATTGTATTTGTTTGCCGAGGCCTATTTGCATGTGGCCGGGCCGCCGGCGCACAGTGGGCCAGAAGATCGGTGGAGGCGCACAACGCGTTTTGTGCTCCAGGGTCGCTAAACAGGACTCGAACCGAACGTGTGACCCCACCAATGGATTCCTCGTTCGGAGAGCAATCCATTGGTGGGGTCACACGTTCGGTTCGAGTCCCGTTTAGCGACTCGGAAGCTCAAAACGCGTCTAGAGTTTTGGCCGCCACCACCGGTCTTCTGGCCCACTGTGCGCCGGCTCGCCATGTTGACTGAATTCCCCGCCGCGTCCGCTGATCTCTCTCCTTCCGGTCCGAGTGTGCGGCTCGGCGTTTGTCCTTGGCGGCGGGGGAGGGGGCGGGGGGAGAGCAATGTTTTTGAAACGAATTTGTAGCGATGTCAGGCGGCCCAGACTCCGTTGCATATTGCCAGGAACGCACCCACTCCCCCCGCCCCTTCCCGTCGCCGCCCCTGGACGTCCGCCAGACGGCGTAGCACGGCGTAGTAGCACCAGGTCGTCGTCGTCGGTTGGAACAGCCACTGCCTTGGCGGGCCGAGCCCTGCAGGCCGACTCCGAGAGTCCTTCTCGTCGCTCTGTCTCTCTCGCACTCGTGGGGCGTCCCGCTTGGGTGCGAGAGAGACAGAGCGACGGGTCGTCGTGGCCGCCGTCGGACTGAAATAGACTTTTTCCCATTTTGATTCGCGGCCCGCGGCCCAGGAGCGCGATGTCGTCGCCGGCGTCTCTAGGACGGTCTTCGGCCTGGCGCGGCTCGCCTCGCGTGGCGCTGCCGCCACTGCCGCCAGCAGACGGGGCCAGACAGCGTGTCTATATTCTGCCCGGGATCGCCCCCCCCCCCTCCCCCTTTTTCAGACGTCGGCGAGGACGCCCATCCTGTGACGTCCACATTCAATAAAGCCCCGCCGGCTGGCGAGTCCATTCCGCGCGGAGCGGGCGAACAGTGGGCCAGAAGACCGGTGGAGGCGGACAAAACTGTAGACGCGTTTTGAGCTCCAGAGTCGCTAAATGGGACTCGAAACGAACGTGTGACCCCATCAATGGATTGCTCTCCGAACGAGGAATCCATTGGTGGGGTCACTCGTTCTTTTCGAGTCGTGTGTAACGACTCTGGGGAGCTCAAGCCGCGTCTAGAGTTCTGGTTCGCGTCTGGCCCACTGTGGGGTGTCACGCATCGTCCGCTGAAAACGAGTGCCGGTAGCAGTGTTTGAACCCGCGACTGTGCCCGCAGGTGACGGTGCTGGTGAAGGGGTCCGCGACGCCGTGCACGAACCAGAAGACGAAGACGTACGAGGCGACGGCGGACGCGGCGCTGCCCGACACGTTCATCGACGGCACCAACACGTCGGGGCCCGGCGAGGCCGTGACCGTCCGCACCAGGGGAAGAGCCCGTTGCTTCGGGCCACTCTGGTGTACGCAGTCGGTCCAGATGCCGCTAAGCAGAGTACCCGCGATGTGCCCCATGACGGTGCTGTAAGGTGGCCGTCGAGCGTCGCCTGAACCAGAGACAAGACTTGTGCGACTACAGTGGCACAGCCATGACACTCCTGGGGCTCGTAGCAGTGGCGGGTCCAGAGCCAGCCTGAGGGAGAGGCAGAGTAGCACCTTTTGCCTACTTACAGTGGCACAGCCATGACACTCCTGGGGCTCGTAGCAGTGGCGGGTCCAGAGCCAGCCTGAGGGAGAGGCAGAGTAGCACCTTTTGCCTACTTACAGTGGCACAGCCATGACACGGGGCCTGGGGCTCCGACCCAGTAGGCGGTGCTCCAAAGAGACACCCTGGGGGAGAGGCCAAAGCAGCGGGGAAGCAGCCTTTTGCCTACTTACAGTGGCACAGCCATGACACTCCTGGGGCTCGTAGCAGTGGCGGGTCCAGAGCCAGCCTGAGGGAGAGGCAGAGTAGCACCTTTTGCCTACTTACAGTGGCACAGCCATGACACTCCTGGGGCTCGTAGCAGTGGCGGGTCCAGAGCCAGCCTGAGGGAGAGGCAGAGTAGCACCTTTTGCCTACTTACAGTGGCAACGTGCGGCCTTTTGCCTACTTTTCAGGCGGCTCCGCGCCAGACTCACGGGGCGTGAGGGTAACTCAGTTCGCGCTAACGACGCTCTTCTCCTTCCCGCAGGTGGGCCGCTACCTGGCCTTCTCGACGCGCATGCCCGAGGAGCTGGTGTCGACGCTGGACGCGCAGGTGCAGGGCGACGGCCAGGGCGACGGCGTGCAGCTGTGCGTGCAGGGCTGCCCGCACTCGGAGCGCATGAACCTGGACAAGGACCGCGGCGCCGTGCTGTCCTGGACGGACGCCCTGGAGAAGTGCGTGTCCAAGACGCGGCCCGCCACCGCGCCGGCGTCGTCGTCGTCGTCGCCGTCCTCGGACGAGGTGCTCGGCGACCTGACGGACCAGTACCTGGACTGGTGCGTGTTCGACCTGATGACGACCGGCAGGGAGGACTTCGCGCTGGCGGCGCACGCGGCCCTGCGCGACACGCTGGCCATGGACCCCAGCGCGGCGGGCAGCCTCCGCAACCGCACCACGGCGCAGGACGTCGGCGCCAGCGACAGCGCGGGCGGCGCGGCGTCGGCGAGCACCACGGGCGCGGCGCCGCGGTCGCCGGCCGCCCCCGCCACACTGCTCATGGCCCTGGCCGTGTCCCTCGTGCTGGCGGCGCGGCGCTGAACCAAGACTGAAGCACCCGAGGCGCGCCGCCGACTCACAGCGTGTCAGAGGGCCGGTGGAGGCGGTCGGAATCCCGGATGGATTTTGAGCTCCAGTGTCGCAAGATGGGACCCCATGCGAACGTGTGACCCCACCAATGGATTGCTCTCCGAACGAGGAATCCATTGGTGGGGTCACACGCTCGTTTTGAGACCTGTTTTGCGACTCTGGAGCTCAACACGCGTCTTGAGGTTTGGCCGCCGGCGCCGGTTTTCTGGCCCACTGTGCAACCACGCCGCGGTACGGCGGCCTAGCTGGAGTTTGTCTGTGATCGAAATACCTTGAACGGCAGCTGTTGCTGCTCCCTCTTCCCGTCTCTCCTCTCGGCCTGCACAATTCCAGGAGGAAGTACTCCAGTCACGTTTACAGAGCGCCTTGACCCCCCACCCTTGCTGAGACGGTCGTCACCTCATGTGCGGCCGAGTGTCCGTCCCTGAGACGGTGGCAACTAAACTGCACCCTGTCCGGCCTCCACTGTACAAGATTTTCGAAAAAGGTTTTCACAGGTGTATTAATCAGAAGAATTCATGATTTTCCTAGTCAGTTTCAATATTTGATGTTTCCATTTTCGAAAGTAACCTTTGAGCCTTATGGATCCCAGTGAGAACTGGTCTTGAATTAATTCTCTATTTTGCCATCCGCCCATTTCTTTTCAACGAAAGAGATACATCAGAAAAGTCAAGACAATTTTGTAATAGGATTGCCACACCCTAACTTTAAAGTCTAAGCTCTGTCTGCGTTACAGCATTTATTTCATGTAAAGAGGATAAATCTGATTTTTTTTTGTTTCTTGTAAGGAATAATTCTAGTGGCCAGTAGATGTAAAGCTTACCTAAACTGTGATATGAATTTTTAAGTTGAAGATTGTAAATATGTGTGTCTGTACAGGTTCAATATTTTGTGTGAGAGTGTATACTTTAATCTGTAAATTTTACTATTATGTGGTAAACCTTTCCTCAAAGGTACTGTGATCTGCGGCAACTCTTTAACCTGCCTGTTTGAAAGAAGATGAAGAAAATGAATTTAAAATCTTGTGTGTATGAGAGATTATGTACATTTGCCTATGGCTTTTCAAAACTTCCTATCTCTGATGAAAAGTGGCATGGCAGAAACAACTTAGGTTAGTTAGTTTTTATAGAAAAGTATTTATTTCTATATTATTTGTGATACTGAGAACAGCAGAAAATGGTTCATAAATTTATCTTCCAGTCCAGCACATTTCTTCTCATTGACTTTGGCCCCACCCAGAATGTACAAACTTACAAGTCTATTGATTTCAATCTGGTGTATTATCCATGCTTCCATTTTGTTCAAATTTGTGTAAAGATGTTTGTAGTGCAACTTTGGCACATATTTGATTTTGTGAATCAAACTCTCCATCCATCAACCAACCTTGATAAACTCTGTAAAGTTAAATTTCTTATAAGTTGTGTGTTTCTATGTGTAGACTGTATTGTAAACTTAATGTATATTTGTGAAATGTAAAAATTTATAACCCTCCACACATTTCACTAAAGCTTTCATTCTCGTGAAAAAATATTTATGAATTTGTTTACTTGTAAAGAATGAGTCTTCTAGTGAGTGTGTTTGGAGGCAAGTACCTGTATGTTATCTGCTGTAGTGGGAGGTAGTGTACAACAAATTGTGATCATCATAGATGTTGGAATTTATAAAATCAATAATATGAACTTCTGTCTTTGTTTTTAGTCCATTTTCAACTATTTATTGTCCATTGATATCAAGGTGTAAAAATTTTATGAGCTGTTTTCAGTGGATGCAGTGAGTAATCGCAGGGAACATTAATCACAGCATGAGCATGACACTTTAAATTTTCCCTACATTCTTTAATGTTATTTCACACATTACAGACATATGTTGACTAAGCCAATCAATTGAACCAATACTTAAAATATTGAAAGAACACAGAGTGATGATTATAGAGTTATAAAACTGCATAGGGAAGTGTAAACACCATGTATAGACACCTCCCTTGACTTCAGAATTCTGTTGGCAGTGTGTACAGTGTGAAGAAAATAATTGGAATGGATCATGATGCTCCTTCAATAGCTACTTCCGTCTCGCCACGAGTATAAAATTCTCCTTGATTCATAAAGTCTTTAAGCTGCTCCAAGACATCTGGGTTCATAACAGAGGAAGAAGAGGGGCTTGTTACTAAACTACGCACCACATCAAATTTAGCATCTTTGCATGGCTTCAGACTTTCAGTTGAACGATCCATTAGGTATTCAACAAATCCAGGTGCTCGCACAATGTACTCCTGGCCCCAGGGGTTAGTGGCAAGGACATGTAAAAGTTGAAAACCAGCGAGCCTTATCTCTGGGAATGGTTGACGACAAAGAGACATGACAAAGTCCATAGGTGTTGGGGATAGAGCTTCAAACCAACGCTTAGTCATTGATAAAGATTGGTTATTTTGATCAGCCACCTGAATGAGAGCAGAAGTTGTTCAATTATTGCAATGCTCAAAGCTTGCATCTAATAGATTAAAAATAAATAAATAATAATTTCCATACCTGCAATTGTAAAATGTTGGATATACTATTTAATAATCGAACTTTTACGTCTGTGGGCAAAGTTGGTAGCTTTTGAACCATTCTACGCAGAGTTTCAGGTATTTTAGATCCTGCAATTTAAGTCAACATAAATTTACATTTGTCATGAAACTTCCATTGGAAATTCAGTGTTGTTGTTAACCATACCTTGGGATTGCAGCATGTATTTTCCTTTCAGTGTGGTGGCGATGAATCCTAAAGTTTCCATTCCAGTTCCCAACACTGCCATGTCACTTGCTTCTAAAGTTTCAAACATCATGGAAACCAAGGTGGGGAATCTTTTCACCATTTCGTCTGGTCTTGATTGAGCAACATTTCCAAAGAACTTTATAAGGCCTAGAAAATAAGTAGGATGCAGCAATTATGACACATGAAATGCTTCACCAAAATGACACAAACTCAAGCCCCTTACCTGGAATTAAGAAAGAAGACAGTGGATCATTCTCAGAGTTGGTCAGTTTTTCTGCGAGGAAGTCAAGAATGCCTTGCTCATCTAGAAATACAAGACTGTGCTGCTGCAGGGCAAGAGCTGTGGTCATTTCCAACACATTCAGTTGAGCTAAAATATCATCTCCTCGGAGCTCAGAGAACAAAGCTCTTAAGAAGCCGCTATTCTGACTGGCTTTCAGTCCTTCATCACTTTGTGCTGAAACAGCCACCACAACCTGTCAAAAAAAACACAAATGTAATATACCACTTTGCAATCAAGTTGATTATTGATGTTTGAGGCAGCAAAATTTCAAAAGTGACTCACCTCATAGACTCTGAATCGTATTATATCTCCTTTGCTGCTAGCCACCTGAAGAGCTTGCATAGTTATCGGAGAATATAAAGCTGATAAACCCACTGGACATGAGCCGAGACTTTTCATCAAAGAGATAGCATATCTTGCAGCAGACATTTCTTCAAGACTCAAACAATCAATTATGCAAACAAGTAAATCTTGTTCTGCACTCAACCGTTCTACCATCTGTACATGGCTGGTCACAGCTCGATCCAACTGAAATTTTAATTTTAAAACGACTATATAAATAATCATGTAGGTCAACATATCTTCATTCAGGGCCTGGAGGATGATTGGAAACAACAGCCCAACTGCATTCGATATGTACGAACCTCTCTGAGAACAAGTTCCTTAGCTCGAGGGGCTGGGTGCATCAGAGTACGCTGAATTTGCGGTCCATACTGAGCAAGGACAGTACTCGGTTCCAAAGCTCCCATAAGCTTTCCAAGCACATCACATGCCAACTCCAACTGGTCCCTATAGCAGAAGAAACAGACAATAAATGAATCAATTTCATTACAGCTAGAACACCATTGCACAATGTGTTCCGTGATTAGTGATTTTCATGAGGTGGTTTCAAACGAGATCAGTAATTAATCATCAACATCTCTGGGATATCTACCTTAAACGAAACCAAAATTCGACTTGAGTGACAAACTTTTGAAGCAGAAACATAGAGCTCTCTCTCTAACCTAGCCACTTGAGAAAGTCATCCTTTTCTTTGAATGAGGCTCGAGGTTTGTAGAACTGGCTAAAATGATAGGATGAAAATAAAAAGGACTTACTTTTCAGTGGTGTTGACGGAGTCAAAAATAGGCGCTAGAGGAAGAAGATTAGCAACAGAAGACAAATCCCTGGCACTCAGGCCACAAAGAGCAACCTTAAGTTCTGACAGCAACTCCCGCCGGGAATCACTGACAGCTAGTCTGTCCACGGTCTGACGGAACCAATCAAAATTTGCAGCCATTCTGGGTGCGGAGACAAACGGATATACCACCGTTTAATTCGAAATGGGCGAAATAACCTAGTGCTGACTTGTTGTTTTTTTCTCGCAGAATGACAGCAGGTTTGTTTTGTTGATGTTGATAGAAGGGGTACCACCTTTGCGGATGTGAGGTTCCCAGTACTGCCACACTCACAAACAAATCCAATGAACTGATACACCTTCACATCGATGAAGTCTCCACGTATTTTGTTCAGTTTTCTGGCTCAAATTGTGATTTTTCTTTGTACCCCCATTCAGATAAGGTGTAATCAAAGTGCCTTTTTGGCGTTCTGTTTGCTATGCGCTGCTCGTTTGTTTCAAGAAAACAACAACAACAACATCAACTGTTGAGACTAGGCACAGGCACAGACCAGAAGACCCTAGCCTAGATTTCACCTCTTCTCGCGTTTCTCAACATCTTTACTGTTGGATATCCTCGCTTCGCATGGCTTGAACGTGTCCCGCTAGATTCCGTGAGTTGCCCTGAGTTAAGGTCGTACTATCCCAAGCGTTCAGCGCTCAAACGTCATTGGACCATAACCTTGCGTCATCATCATCATTACCAAACATTCTGTCACATCATCGTGCGTCATTGTCTGAATGTTCTGGACCTGCACCCTCAGACCGACTCTGCTGTCCCACCGCCGGCGGGTCCCTTGCCACTCGCTGTCGGGGCCTCGTTCGCTGCACTCCTACACTGTCTCTGCGTCCAAGTCTGAGGTGTCAACTACAACATGGAGTTTCCTGGTCTGGGAGAGCACTGCTCTGAAGCAACATGTGGCCAGCTGGGTAGGTTTTGGTTCTGTTTTTACTTGGCACTGTGGCGCAATTCTGAAATCATCACACCACTTGCTGACACACGTTAATAGATTTAGTTATTATTAACACTAGAAGCGCCGAACGGGCCAATTTGACCCATTTTGAGTTTTGAACTGAAATTTCCACTTTTGAAAATGAAAGTGGCAGCCCCCTAATTTCTGACTTTTCCTAGAATGATGAAATGCGTCTAAATTCGAAATCTGGACGTTCTCGGACCATATTTGACCGAGATAAAAGGACTTTTACCGTAAAGCGCCAAGCGGGCCAAATTGACCCACACGTCATTTTGACCACATTTTCGCGTTTCTACACAACGTAACGAGCTATAAACTGACTCTTCACCACTAAACATGACTTACGTCATATGAGGAATGCGTTAGGTCCGCGTTTATAACGAAGTAGGCAGCCCGCAATACATTTCCTGGCTGAAGACATCGTGCAGCTTCCTTTGACGTAAACTGCCAATGTCTTGGGCATTTTGGGTGACCCGATTGACTTCTAAACGCCCTAAGGTGTCTCTCGAACACTGAGCCACTAGTCTACCTTCAGTGGCACTCATAGCACGCTCAGCCCGAATCCTTGGGACAAAGGACTACAGCACTTACTCATGCGTAAAGAGGTGAATAAAATGCCGATGTCCACTTTGTTGCTCTCGAGTCTAGTGTTTCAAGGTAATTCACTTGCCTCCATAAATTTTAACAAGTTCGGCAACTATTCATTCCCTAGATGTCTGAACAAACCGGTCAGGACGATGGGCGACACGGAAACCCATCTCAGGGATACAGCAGGAGCAAAACTGGTTGGGACAGATCACTGAATGCTAGTTGACGAACGGACGCAAATTAGAAACCACTACGCGCCTTGCTGGTTATGGCGAGTTTATTGAGTACCCGAGAGTGTTTACACATGTCTCTTACATTCCAGCCTTTAAAGCACACACTCAATCGAGCACTCAATCCTCCTTACAATGAGCTTCTCCGTTGCTATGAATCCTGGTTTCCGGGCATGCGCAGCTATGCTTTGGGGGTTTGGCCAGGTCTTAATGGTCGACGGTTCAGTAATTTTATTAAAAATCACTATCTCGATCACAAGGCGATTGGAATTCTGCCATCTATTATCATCAAAAACGTTTCGGCAACGAGGCACTGTTGAAAACACTAACAGCAAATCATGGTTTGCGGGTTGCCTACCTTGTCCCCTGTGACCCCTGTGCACCAAATTTTATCCTGTGACTTGCTAAGGGTCTTCAAATCCGTTTTAGGTTCCCTTTGAGTCAAAATGACGGTTCAAGAGTTGACTTGTACGACGAAAATGCCCTTGGGTCAAATTGGCCCGCTCGGCGCTTTACGGTAATCCGAAAACCCGGCGCTTCTAGTGTTAAAATGTGTTTACCCAGATTCATCTTTACTGTAGTTCTTCTGGGCTTATCAGTTGTGAAGGATAGTGATTAAAAAAAATTTGATTGATTTTAAAATAGTGTACTTATAAATTTTGCCTCTGGATTTCAATCGTTTTGAAAGTATCATTGCTTGATTTTTTGTGAGTTGTAATTTCTTTTGTATTCTCTGATTCAGACTTCCTACCTGTGAAGTGTGATGCGTGTGAGAAAATATTTTGGTAAGTTCTTGTCATTTTCAAAAGTTGATTTTAATTCAATTCAATTTAATTCAATTCATGAATGGTACCCCATAGCAATCACATGGTTTTAATTTGAGTTGTTTCTATTTTTACAGTCATAGTCACATGGCCTATTCTAAACATTCATGCCCATCAGCATACAAAAAAGATGTCCAGGTTCCTGTCTGTCCATTGTGCAACAGTCCTGTTTTTGCTAAGAGGGGGGAGCAACCCGATATTGCTGTTGGTGCACATATTGACAACAACTGCAACTCTGACACAGCCAAAACGAGAAGAAAGGTAACTTTTATTTTCAGCTTTGTTTTATTCGCACCACCCTTCAATGTTTCTTTCTATTAATTCAAGAAACTCTTTCTTCTCCAGGTCTTCTCCAATCGGTGCTCTGCGAAGGGCTGCAAGGCAAGGGAAATGATCCCAGTCAACTGTTCTGAATGTACGCTCAACTTTTGTTTGAAACACAGACACCCCACCGATCACCGTTGTGAGGGGAAAAGCGCTGGAATGAGGAAGAAGGCAGCGTAAGTCGTCTGACTGTTTTTCTATGAGGTGTATGGTTTAAGACTTGATGTTCATACTTTTCCTCTTGCTTGTTAGGGATGCCGCTGCAGCCAGACTAGAATCCTCTGGTGGGCCATTTAAAAATAAACCCAAAGCCCATCCTCCGCCAAGTCAACGGCAAGGCAACAAGCTGGCTGATGTTCAAGGCAACATGGTAAGTTCAATAATCTGTTTAAAATAATTTAAAAATAAAGGATTTGCATTTTATTTGATTTTTAAAAAATGTTTCTTTTACTTTTAAAATTTAGAGCGAAGATGAAGCATTGGCTCGAGCCCTAGCAGCATCCATGCAAGAAACCAGTCCATCAAGCAGCTCTGTTGGTGATAATTCGCATCTGACTGCACAAGAAGCTGCTGATTTGGCATTAGCCCGTGCTCTGGCTGAATCTGAACAGATGCATCAGAGTCAACAGAGGGCTCAGACAGCGGGTGGATCAAGGGATAAATGTGTCTTATCTTAGTAAAGCTGCCTTATTTGTGACTTTCATTCGGTTTCTCAGAATTCAGAAGGTGCTTGGTTTGAAATTTTGTAAACTTGGTCAACATTCCTTGGAAGAAAGGCTTGTTTGACTGTTGCATACTATTTAAAGTGAAAAGTGCTTGTGTGTGATAAGTGTCAAGCTCTTCATTATTCTTATTGAATGGCATTTTTAAATTGTTCATATGACCTTAATCTTTCTCCTGTGTCTTATTTCATATGCAATTTGTTGCCTGCACACTTATGTGAGTGTTGCCTTTCTTCCTGTGAATTTCTATGTGATATTAATGCACATTCATATGATTTGTGATATTTCCAAAACACAAGTACCTTTGCACACACCATTTCAATATTGTTACTTAACTTATGAGCAATAGCAAAATTTTGTATTCACCCAAAATCACTGCCTCTGTTTCAAAAATTTTTATTTTTGCAAAGTATTTTTCTTTTTCTTTGCACAATCGACTAATTTAACTAAGGCAGAAAACAATTTTCATCTATTTAAAACTTAAACTTGTATCAACTTTTAATTTATTTACAGTCATGGTACATGACTATGACAAAACCTGTATCTGTGTTTTAGCAGAATAACTCTTGTCAAAAATGTCATTGAGAAGAAGTTTAAAATTTATTATATTTAGTTTTTAAGAAATGTTTTGTTTCAAATTCAAATAAACAGATTTAAAAACACCTGTGTGTCATTTCGTATTTCTAAAGGCCACTGAAAATGACTTTTCCCGAGACGTTGGTAGAGCTCTGGAGCGGCGAATAGACTGTGGATTGCCTGCCTGTCCGGCGCCTGCGCAAATAATTGCGCTGTGTCAGTGGGTGGCTGCAAGTGCCTGGTGCCAATTTATCTTAATCCTGATCTGGGGTTATATGCTTCTTTTCTGGCAAATAAATAGGTTCATGATTGCATATCATTTTATTGTGACAAAAAAGTCAAGTTCATAAAACAGAAATAGAGGCAGGGCAAGGTCATTTTTATTTGGCCAACCTGGCTACCCTCTGCGAGACACATGTTACAGTGTATTAATTACTATCCACAATATTTGGCCGTATTTACAAGGCTGGCTCACACCTAATCTGATCTGCCAAAGGACTTACTTAACAACTTTACCAGATTACACTGAAATTTGATACCCTTAAGTTTGAAGACAAGCAAACTTTCATGGCTCTCTCTATACAGTACACTGGTGCAGCCCCCCACACAAGACATAAATTATGGTTAAAGCTATGTTACGGAGTCTGAAACGGAGCAAGTACAATCAGACAAGTTGAGGCAACAAGGTTGTCACCCTCTTTATTTTTCTTTACAAAACTAAGTTTACTTCTGGCCTAATTTGCTTGGCAGTCTTAAAATGTTTTGAGGAAAAAATAAACGGAAATAAGAAAGAAACCTTTCATAGGGAGTATAGGAAAATTACCTACTGTAAGCAGAATGCTCTAGAGTCAAACCATCACATCATAACAATTATTAGAAAAGATAAATTATAATGAGGTTGTCATATGGTTCAGTAACTGAGATGAACATATAACACCTGGTCCAAACTCAACTTGCACATTTCAGTCATTTTCATTATCACAGGGCAATCTCTGACAAGAGAACAATTTACATCAAATACACATGTTTAATATGGTCGCTACAGTTGGCGCCAAAACACATACTCTTGGGTCCACCCCCAAACCAAATTTCAAAAGGCTTCACATCAATATTCTACATTTTTAAAAAGAAACAACAACAACTAACAGTGAAATAATAAAAATTTAAATGGGAAAAAAATTTACATAGACCAATTATGGCTTATGTGATAAAATTATTTAATTTTAACTAGTTACAAATAATAAATAGGATATTGTTAAAAACAATTGTGCAGTTCAAGAGGGCAAATGTTGAATTTCTTATCCTGGAAAACAACATAATTGCAGTAGGCTGATGAGCTCTCACTGTGAATGATGGCATCAGCATATGGTTAGTTCAAAGCATGAATTCAACAGAAAAGTACATAGATCTAGTATATGGTTCTGCCACAGTGTCCATTTAGTCCTCTGAAGTACCTACATTCACGCAAGCGTGTCTTATAGTCAGAGTGACCCCCCCATTCGGAAGTCTTTTCATCAAACCCCATGCTTCAATGCGAGACATCTTGGTCACATCAGTATTATTGACACTCAAGAGTTCATCCCCAGCTTGCAGATTTCCACTTTTTTCTGCACAACCACCTGTAAAGAAATTTTCTTTTAGTTCTCAAAATTTAAAAAGAATCGATAGGCTAATGTAAAAAATATTGTGGATATTAAATTATGTACCTGTAAATATCTTTTTGATTGTTAGAGGTCTGTCCCCAAGAGGAGAGTCTTTTCCTCCCTCAAGACTGAAACCAAGGCCTGCACCATCTTTCTGCAGTAAAATATTTACTGGTGGTCCCCTTGGAATGGCAATATTATTGTGATCTAATGATGGGGAAAAACAAATTAATGGCAGGAGGGCAAACAAATGATAAAGACTGGCTCTGAGCCTTTGAATGCTGGCTTGCAACTTACCAATAATTGGTTGTTCTAATATGCGAGGTGGTCTGGAACTAATTCGAGAGCTATTATTTGCTGATTCCTCATAAGTGCGTCCAGTGTCTCCTCGAGACCGAGATACAACAAGTACAACTTCAGGTCGAGGAGCCTGTAACAATAAGTTTTTGTAATTTACTACAAATTCAGAGAAATAATTTCAATAATGTGCACAATCTTAAAAGCAAGGCATAACTATTAAAATTTTTTGTTTCTTTATTTGTAAGAGATTGAAAAAGCCAGAATACCTTGAGAATAGCTAGAGATTCTCTATGAGTCACTCCTTTCATATTTCTTCCATTGATTGACAGAATTCTGTCTCCCTTTTGCAAGCGGCCATCTCTTTCCGCTGGACTTCCTGAGAGAACCTTGTGAACCTGAATAAAGCAAAATTAAAATTAAGGTGCTTGTCAAACTCTGATGGACCAGGAAACCATTAATTAAACTTACAGTTATTTCCTTGGTTTCGTAGTCTGCACCACCAGCCAGGGTGATACCCACACTAGCCCCAGCTGTTTCTCGATGAAGTATCACTACAAGAACTTCATGAGAGGAGCCAGGGTGACTTGTTCCATTGCTATTTGCCTCTTCAAGAGTCTGGTTTGCATCATCTATCAACTGTTGAAGCTCCTTCAAACAAAATTTAAAATTGTAAAATTGTATGGAAACAGTTTACTCTAATTTATACTTCAAGTCCAAGACTGGCAAGCTGAAATTACCTGCTGGGATATCAGACTTGTTGTTGAGGCAAGTGAAGTGATGGAACCAAACTGCTCTTTGGACAGGTGGCCCGGGAAACCATCCTCACTAGTTGTGGAGTCAATTGAAGATCCTCGTGCGTGAGAGGAAATCAGTGTTCCACTTCCTACAGTTGAGCTTCCCGAGTTGATGGAGCAAATAAGACGCTCACTGACACCATTCAAGCCTGCACTGAAGCCCACTTTTCCATTTGGTGGGCTTGGAGAAGTAGGAGACAATGCTAATTCTGCCTTTTCAAACGCTTTCCGGATATCATTAACGCTGACAGCATGCAAAGGTGTGGGGCTATGGGAAGACGTCCCATTTCTCTCCAAGAATAAGGGGTCTGAAGCATTTCGCTTCTTCAAGTTACGAAGTCTAGGTACACTTTCTGAAGATGAGACCCGTGACCTATTGTCTACTGTGTCGTTGCCGTTCAAAAGACCATCTACGCTGCCCATCCTAGACAGTGGCTTTGGCAGTGCAATTGGTTGACTTTGTTTTCTGTTGTCATCACACACCTGAAAAACATGAATTGACGTGCAATTAATAACAACACATGAATTCTCTACGTTAAAAGAAAACATGTTCCTAATTCTTACTGTGGAGAGCAGAGACACATCGTTGTCTTGACGGGAGCAGGACAGAGAAGAAATGTCCATGCGTGCACCTTGCTTGACTGGCACAGGGCTGACAGGATGAAGGTCTAACTCGATACCAATATTCTGTGTATCGTTCAGGAAAGCCACCTTCACATCAGCAGCAGGGAGGTCTCGCAATGTAGCTGGTCGGTAATGAATCCTGCCAGAGCGACTGGGCTCAAGGGTGTCGTCTGAACTGTTGACACTGTCATCACAGCTCAGTGCGTCATTAGATTCCACATCAGTGTCAGCCATGCTCACCTAGAGGAACAAAAAGTATAGCAGTTACAATCAATACAGACAACATTGAATTAGAATTTCAGATTCAGTAACGCACCATTCTTTCAAGTTCTTTAATTTCTTCTCGTGGATCCCTTCTCATAATGGGAGCCTGGCAAGCCTGTTGATTTGAGGCGTCGTCATTGTCATCTCCATTCTCAGTGTCAAGCTGCATGAGGGGTGAGCCGATTCGGAGGTTTCGACCACTGCGACAACGAGCTGAGAAGAGCACATTTTTACGGTTGATTGCGTCTACACTTTGCGCCTTCAGGACTCTCTTGTTGTTGTCAAGAGAAAAGCCATTGCTGCTGCTCCTGCTTCTGCCACTGCTGTTGCTGCTACTGCTGCTGCTACTGCTGCTAGCCTGCCAGTTTGAAAAACCAAATGTTAATGACTTGTTGCTATGTGTATGGTTCATCGGAGTTTGAAGTTGACTCGCAGCTCTTACCTGCGACGGAGTGGTGGAGGCAGCCGACACCGTGGTGTCCGAGGACAGCGTCCTCCTCAAGAAGGGCCCCGTGCTGGACGGCCGCGGGCCCACCGCACTGGAGGGCAAGAGCGGGGAGGCTGGCGGCGAGAAGCCGTGGCAGATGCTGGACCTGCAGCAGACGGCGTAGGTCTTAGCAGGCGAAGAGAAAAGAAAGGAGGGTGAGGATTCGAACCAGCGACCCAACCCACCTGCTCGAACTGACTGCAGAGTCGTTGTCGCTCTCCTCCTCCGCGGACCTGCCGCTGTCCGACAGGAAGGCCGAGGACGTCTTGGACGCCTCCCTGTCCCTGTCGGGCCTGGCCGTGCCGATCAGCAGGTCGTGGCTGGGCTTGGACGGCAGCACCGAGGAGGCCGTCGCCGAGGCGGCCCGCACCGTCAGGCTCTTCCGCTTGAAGGCGGGCGAGTACTTGGGCAGGTTGGACACCCCCTGGCTCTTCCAGGGCGGGCTGCTCAGCACGGCGGCGGGGGGCGTCGACGCGGTGCTCGAGTGCTGGTGGTGCTGCTGGTGGTGCTGCTGCCGGGTGTCGTGGAACCTGGGCTCGATGCTGGCGGAGGACGCGATGAGGATGGCGTCCTTGCTGCGGATCTCGGGCAGGTCGAGGATGGACGTGGCGGCCGAGGCCTCGGGGACCTTGTCGGGGATCACGAGGCCGCGCAGCTTGGAGATGCTGCGGCGTCGCTGCTCCACCAGCGCCACCAGCGACGCCCTTCGGGCCTCCTCCGCGCTGGCGCTGCTGCCGTTGGTGGTGCTGCCGTTCGGGGTGTTGCCGTTGGTGGCCACGGCGGGGGCGGGGGCCGCGCGGGGCTGCCCGCTGAAGCTGGTGGCGCGCGTTAGCGCGCTCGTCGCCTTCCTGGGCAGCGTCGTGGACTCGAACGGCGCCGCGTTGAGCGTCGGCGACAGCGACGACTCCGGCGAGCAGAACGACGAGTACGCCGACGAGGACGAGGACGCCGACGACAGCGGCGCGTCGGCCGAGGCCTTCCCGACGCGGTCCACGGACACGACGGACCGCGAGCGGACCTTGGCGTCGACCGCGCCGTCCACCACGTCGCCGCCGAGGATGTTGAAGACGTCCTCCGTGCTCTTGAACTTGTTGGACAGGCGGCGCGTGATGGTGGCCCCGGTCGGCATGGGCGGCGACGTGGCGGTCGAGGCCGCCGTCGTGAACATGGCGATCTTGTCCCGGACGCTGCGCTCGGACCGCTCGTCCTTCCGCCAGCCCTGCGGACCCAAGGGCGGCCCCAAGGGCGGGCCCGTCAGCGGCAGCGGCGGCGCCGACGACAGCGCGCCCTTGCCTTCCAGCGCTGCAGCAGAACACCAAGGCCGTCAGCACACAGTGGATTTGCCGGGCGGTCCAAATTCTTAGACGCGTTTTGAGCTCCAGAGTCGCTAAATGGGACTCGAACCGAACGTGTGACCCCACCAATGGATTGCTCTCCGAACGAGGCATTCATTGGTGGGGGTCACGCGTCCGGTTAAGTCCCATTTAGCGACTCTGGAGCTCAAAACGCTTGCGGATACTGACCTGGGTGCGGGGCGTGCGTGGCGAGCAGCAGGGTGTCGTGGTAGCGGGGCGGGAACTCGTCACCGTCGGGGGGCTGCCGGGAGCCGCTCGGCGGAACGGGGGCACCGCCTGCACTGCCTGCAACACGGTGGACGTCACGGTCAAGCAAAGCCGAGGGAATTCCACACCCACACCCACACCGCAGTCTAAACTTTTTGTAGGGATCGGAAAATCTCGCGGAAAATCTTAAAGAACACCAGATGGAGCCCAGGCCTTTGGCATGCGGGAGGCAGACATTCTGCGACTGACGGACAGTAGACAGACAGACACAGACAGACAGACAGACAGACAGACAGACAGACAGACAGACAGACAGGAGAAAATGGCAGTCCCTTCCCTCCGTCCAAACCATTACACCAACTGAGCGCGGTGCCGGGACCGGGGCACCCCGCGGCTAGGATGAAAGTTTCTTCTCTTTTTTTCCGGTATGCTGAACTTGAATGAGTAAGATGTCCCCCACCGCCTTTTTTTACAGTGAGTCAGCACGCGTCACGCGGTGGGGCGGGCCGTCGCGCACGCGTCCGCGGCACGGCACGGCACGCCACGGCATGGACCCAGCGGGGCGGGATTGTTTTCACACCTCCCATTGGTCACGGGTGGTAGGCCCGAGCCGGTCCGAGCCCTACACGGCACACCACCCAACATGCCACAGGGCCCCTAGGTCGCGACCCCCCCCCCCCCCCCAGCGAGGTAGCGCCCGAGGTGTCCATGTGTGGTCTCGGCTCGCGGCGACGCCAGCCCTCGCGGCCCTCGGCCTGGAGGGGCCTGGCGGGGCCTGGTGCACTCAATGACCCCGTTGAAGTTGAATAGCCAACGGACAAGGCGGCAGGGCGGCAGGCAGGGCCTTACCTCTCAATCAGTCGTCGGATTGCTTTTTGAAGCCCCGACTTTCGACTGGCCGAGTGGCCACAGAGGGGCTGCGCACAGTGGGCCAGTAGACCGCGGTGGAGGCGGTCAAAATTCCGGACGCGTTTCGAGCTCCAGAGTCGCTAGATGGGACTCGAACCGAACGTGTGACCCCACCAATGGATTGCTCTCTGAATGAGGAATCCATTGGTGGGGTCACACGTTCGGGTCGAGTCCCATTTAGCGACTCTGGGGCTCAAAACGCGTCCGGAATTTTGACCGCCTCCACCGGTCTTCTGGCCCACCGTGCAGCCGAGTCGGAACAATATTTCTGCCCTCTAGGGTCCAATAATTTCTAAAATTTTGAACTTTACTGATTAATTTTTGTTCGTTTAACGTACCATGGTGGTCGGCGGGCTGGCGACTGGCGGGCGACGGGCGCCCCAAGCGGGGTGGCCCCAAGAGGGGTGGCGCCCCCAGCGGAGGCCCCACGAGGGGCCCGGCGGCGCTGCGGACGGGCATGGGGCCCAGGGGCGAGCCCAGGGGACCCGGGGCCCCCAGGGGATCCGGGCTGCCCGCGCGGCCCTGGGGCGGGCCAGAGGTGGCGCCACCTGCAACACGAAAAAAAGTAACAACAACATTAGAAACGGCGACGACAGGCAAGTCAACCACACCTCCAACACGAAAAAGCAACAACAACATGAAGCAGCCACTACACCGGCAGGCGGGGGAAACTTCCACCCGCGCCGTCGATGCGACTTTGATGCCGCGCTCCAGCTCGTCAACGTCAGGAAAAAGGCCGCCGCACAGTGGGCCGGAGGTGGCCAAAACTCGAGCTCTAGAGTCACTAAACAGGACTCGAACCGAGCGTGTGACCCCACCAATGGACTGCTCTCCGAACGAGGAATCGATTGGTGGGGTCACACGCTCGGTTCGACTCCCGTTCAATGACTCTGGAGCTCAAAACGCGTCTAGAATTTCGTCCGCCGCCAGCGGTCTTCTGGCCCACTGTGCGCCGACTTCCACGCAGCGCAGTGGATCACGCGAGTGAGTTCACAGTGCCGGTGCGCTCAGCTGATTCCATTTGCGAGTAACAATAAATATACCGCACCGCTTTGGCAGTGTAGGCAGATGGCTGGCGGGGTAGCGCTACAGTACTCGCGGTCCAGCGCGGTCGTGACTGGTTATTGTGAACTCTGGGCGATAAAAGCGAAGCCGGGCGAAGCTAGGCGAGGCTGGCAGGGCGCTAAGTCTATGACGAAGACGACTCCGCACGGTGGGCCAGAAGACCGGTGGAGGCGGCCAAAGCTCCAGACGCGTTTTGAGCTCCAGAGTCGCTAAATGGGACTCGAACCGCACGTGTGACCCCACCAATGGATTCCTCGTTCGGAGAGCAATCCATTGGTGGGGTCACACGTGCGGTTCGAGGGAGTTTTTGAAAGTCTTGGTTGGCGAGCCCCGGAGAGGCAGGCAAGGTGCTCCGGGTACTCCAGCCGCCGCCCATTCCCCATTCCGATCCGGCGGCCGCACGGCACGGCCGGCCGCTCCACGCGAAAATGACAAAATTGATTTGAGCCGAGTTCGAGTCCACCTCATCTCATCACTTACGGGCTGCGTCCGCCGCGAGGCCTGCTCCACTGCGAGTGCGAGAGAGACGGCCTGACGGCCTGCTCGCGGATGCAGCCCGTATCGTGATGTGCGGGCCGTGGGGGCCGCGGGGGCCGCGGGGGCTGCGGGGGTGGGGCGCGGATGGAGTATTCACGGGGTACCCACGGGGTACCGGCATGACTGGCCGGGGACCGTCCGTCAAAACGAAAATACCACACAAAAATAAAATCGAAGTCTGCGCAGATTCCTGTCGAATTCGTTTTGCAAAAATTTCAATATTATATTTTTCCGTAACAGCAAAACTTTGGTCAGCGCACTAGTGCCCGCCGCTGCGTAGCAGTGTGACATTTGCCTCTCTCTCTCTCTCTCTCTCTCTCTCTCTCTCTCTCTCTCTCTCTCTCTCTCTCTCTCTCTCTCTCTCTCTCCCCACACACACACACGCCAAATCCACGCAACTGGATCACGGTGCGCGACTTTCTTAGCGCGTGATTTATCTGAAAAGTGTTTCCGTCGGCGAGCTTAGCCTAGCGACGCGATGCGCGACGCCGCGACCCGCGGGGGAGGCAGCAAAGGCCGTCCGTCTTCTCTCATAGACGGTAAGCGGATGAAGAGAGAGAGAGAGAGAGAGAGAGAGAGAGAGAGAGAGAGAGCGGAGGCGTAGAGTTGCTGAAACGGGACAGGGGGAGGTAAGCCACCCAACAGAAATAACTTTGCCATTTTTGAAAAAAAAATTGCAAAATTGTGAATGTTGTTTTTTTTAGTCTCAAAGAAGGTGCACTGGGTAAAAGCCGAACAGGAGAGCGCGAAAAATGGCTGGGCCCGGGTGCGCGAGGCGCGGTGCGCGTGGGCCCCAGAATGCTCCCCAGTAGGCGGCCGGTCTTTGACGCGGAGCGGCCGGGGCGGCCTGCATCCTGCATGCATGCACATCCAGCAGACTGATTCCGAGAGTCGTTTTCGTCGCTCTGCCTCTCTCGCACCTTGACGGGACACCCTGCGAGTGCGAGAGAGACGGCGCGACGGAAACGACTCTCAGAAGGCTGGGCCGGGCTTGGGTCCGGCAGACGCAGAGACAGTCAGACACGGAATGCAAGCCGATCATTAAATGAAATGGTCCCTGACCAAAGAAACAAACCTTCATAATATCGATACAGTGCACAGGGCGGCAGCGCGGCAGGAAGCACCATCCAACTATACTGCCTTGAGACGCACCGCCTCGCAGTGGACCAGAAGGCCGGTGGAGGCGGACGCGTTTTGAGCTCCAGAGTCGCTAAATGGAACTCGAACCGAACGTGTGACCCCACCAATGGATTGCTCTCCGAACGAGGAATCCATTGGTGGGGTCACACGTTCGGTTCGAGTCCCATTTAGCGACTCTGGAGCTCAAAGCGCGTCTAGAATTTTGTCCGGCTGCGCCGGTCTTCTGGCCCACTGTGCGCCTGGCCGCCAAGGTGTGTGCGGTGCGGGCTTGTTGATGTGTGAAGCACAGCGCACTGCAAGCGGCTGCAGCAAGGACGCTTCATTTAAGAGACCGCAGCTTTAGGGCCGCCCTCATGGCCAGACGGCGTCCCTGGGGCACTGCAGCCGCTGCAGTTGCACAAGGTGCGGGTTCGAATCCCGGCGGCGGCGCCGTTTCGTGGTCCCTGCCTTTTCCCGAGAAGCCATAATCCGGCGAAGGGTTTTACGATTAATCAACGGCAACACCGACGGCTGTGTAAACGGTCCGAAACACAGAGGAGACACAATCGCCGCGTCGCTCAGCCGGCTGTCTCACTTGATTGATCCAAGATCGATAGGTCGGAATCGATTCGGAAAGCGGCGATGGATCGAAAGGCGCGCGTGCGGACGCGGGCAAGGGGCGGCCAGCACACTGTGAGTCGTCGCTCTGTCTCTCTCGCACTCATGCGGCGTCCCGTGGAGGTGCGAGAGAGACAGAGCGAGACTCTGGGACGCCTCGCGGACGCGAGACAGATGCGCGCCTCTCGTCAGCATTCCGACACTATTCAACGGAAGCACCGCCTTGCTGCGCCCAGCCCTGCAGCGCACAGTGGGCCAGAAACGCCGTTTGAAAAGACCGCCAGTTGCGCAACGCCGCCGCTAGGAGGCGCTGGCGTCGCGCTCGTTCTGATTGGCGGCATTCAGCGCCGTAATGAAGAAATGTTAACGCGACGGACGGGCGGACGGACGGACAGACAGGCACGTGCGTAAAAACACTTCTCCAGGCGACGGAAGTCGCCGACTGAGAAATAACCGCAGCCCAGGGCAGTAATCGAGAGTTTTCAGCGTCCCACAGTGGGTCAGAAGCCCGGACGCGTTTCGAGCTCCAGAATCGCGAAGTGGGACTCGAACCGAACGTGTGACCCCCCCAATGGGTCCCGCGTTCGGAGAGCAATCCATTGGTGGGGTCACACGTTCGGTTCGAGTCCCATTTAGCGACTCTGGAGCTCAAAACGCGTCTAGAGTTTGGGCCGGCGGCGCCGGTCTCCCGGCGCACTGTGCGTCCAGGACAGACGGCATTTCCATGACCGCGGGGGCCGTTTTTGTCCTTTCCTCCCATCCGGGATTTGGTCACGGCAGCGGTTTCCGTCCCAAGGCCCCGGAGTGCTGGACGTCGTGGACCGTGGACAGCGTCGGACAGCGGCCACACTTTCCCTCGGACTCCGGGACCAAGCCCGGGACTACGGACCGAAACCGCGTTGCGACGCCTCAAGCGGCTGGCTGACACCTGACCTCTGGTCCCCTTCAAAAGGGAGAGAGAGAGAGGGCAGCGGCGGCCTTCACAAGGTCCCGGGCACGCTCTGCAGGGAGTCCCACAGGAGCGTCGGCCCGACACCTCCGGGGAGCCAGCCAGTGGCGTGGCATCGCAATCGCAGCCAGAGCCCCTGGAGGGTAGGCAATCCGCACACAGCGGTGCTCGACGGCACTGCCCAGCCTCGGAACGGCAGGGGTTCTCGCGGGAAAAACCGTCCCACATTTTCTTCCAGGACCTCCCAGGAGGCCGCCGAGCCTCTCGTCCTGGAGTGCCCTGGAGTGCCCTGGAGGATCCAGGCGGACTAAGGACTCCATTGTCACAATGAAGATGCCTGCGCGCGTACACTGCGGACTCGGCAATCAAAGATCGAGACCTCATCAGTAGGTCACACAGCACGAGCACACTCTAAAAAGAGGAGAGAGAGAGAGAGAGAGAGAGAGAAAGAGAGAGAGAGAGAGAGAGAGAGAGAGAGAGAGAGAGAGAGAGAGAGAGAGAGAGAGAGAGAGAGAGCAAAATTATATTGCTCATGGCGCCGCCAAAAAATGTTGGATACACACATGTAAGAGGCTGTAAGAAAAACTTAAAAATAAAAGTAAAAAAAGAAATGAAATGAAATCGAGCGTGTCATGCACCACGTGACGTGCCACGCGGGGCCCAATTACGAGGCAATTAATGAGACCGCGTTGATCGTCCACTCTTGAGGCCCGTTCACGGCGATGACACAGGACTCCATCACTTTCTCTGCCCTTCACCCCGGACCACGGTCCTGGCTTGGTCCTGGCTTGGTCCCGGCTAGGTCCCGGCCCTTCCTGTCCTGGACGGCCTGACGGCCATACCGCGGGTCGTGCCGCCTGTCTTTTGTCAATCAGAGGAAGATTCACAATGGGCCGGCCGAAGGGCCCGAAGGCCGAAGGGAAACCTCAAACCCCAAGGGACCAATCAGACCACACCGCTCGGTTAGCCAACGCACAACACGCCCAAGCGGACATTTTCTGTTCGAAATGGTTGTGACAACCACCTTTAATGTGTATGTTACCGCGGCCAGACGCTTTGGGGACTCTTGCAGAACTAACCCAGCCGTTTCGAGTTTGTCGACGAACAGCGGAATGTTGGTTACAGAACAATCTCGTTTCTTCCCGAAGGATACCAAGGATAGGAAAACAGCGCAGCGCAGCGCGGAGGAACGCCGCGACCCACTACACTGGAGGAAGGCCTTTTTACGGGGATCGGCGGCACTTTTAAATTGGGCCAACT